TTGGAAAAGATTGGGTTCCTGATTTCTTGGAATTAACTTCCTCATTTGTTGAAGATTTATTGCGGATATTATGGGATGACTCCTAATGAGAAACAAAGAAATCCTAACAGTAAAACAATTGAGCGGGAAAATAAGAAATTGGCGATACATTAGGACGACACAGAAATAGATGTAGATATCTTGAGAACTCACCGTTGCTATCCTCCACTGCGTCTTCTCCAATCCTCCGAGCCTGCATATTTTCATAACTCACATTCATATCCATTGAGTCTTCTACAAGCCAACGTCCTTTGCTGCACAACGTTTCAGGTGTTTCCTTTTGTTGCGTAGCCCTCGAATTGAAACTTGAACATAGAATCCATCATCAACCTTATGATCAACAAAAAACCACTCGGCAAGAAATTACACCATTGAACTTTGACCATAAACCTTTAAATCGTGTACTTTACTTCGTTTTCTTACTTTTGCCACTTGCCAGTGGGTAGAGAGCTAGTAATGAGATGGACGAAAGCTTTCTATGCTTAACAAAATTGAAAACGTGTTGTAGTATTTACCGTGTATAATTGTAAATTTGTAACTTTCTTTTCTTTTCCTTTCTACTCCAGAACACATAACATGTTTACTTTCTTATCATTTTTTGTTTCAAACTGGGGAGCACAAAAATTAACATATATTTCCTTTTCCCTCCCTTATTTTGTCTTTTCCCCCTTTCTCTTCTTTTCTTTCCTTTATTGAAATCGGAAACACATCGTTGGAATCTTGCATCATGATCATATAGGATAAAAGGTGTGTTTGAAAAGGTGTCCCCCTAATGGTTTGGGGGTTCAAGTCCTGTCATGGTAAAAAAGAGTAGTTTAGGAGTAGGATAGAGAAGGTGTGTTTGTTAGTTGTTCAAAAAAATGTTCAAAGTAATTAACTTTCACAAATTGCTACATATTCCTAATGGCTACTATGAATGCTATTGCTATTAAATTAGACAATCGTGAGCAGACATCACAAACTCATTGCCTTATTGCTTGTTTCTATTTGAACCTGTTCAGTATAATGGCGAGTTGGGAAGATGGAGCACCAGCAATAGGCATCGACTTGGGCACCACTTACTCTTGTGTTGCAGTATGGAAACATAATCGAATTGAGATCATACCAAATGATCAAGGCAATCGAACGACACCATCTTGTGTTGCTTTCACTGATTCTCAACGCCTCATTGGTGATGGTGCCAAGAATCAAATTGCAAGGAACCCTGCTAATACTATTATATTCAGTCAGTTACAACTTTCTCTATATGATTTAATAACTCACTTTTTTTCACACTTTTATTGCATGGCTGATATGCTTAAGTTATGGAATTCTAGATGCAAAAAGGTTGATCGGCAGGAGGTTCAGTGAAGTCATGGTGCAGGCAGACATAAAGCTAATGCCATTTAGGGTCATAGAAGGGCCTAGCGACATGCCAAAAGTTGTTGTTACGCACAAGGGTCATGAACAACAATTTTATATGGAGGAAATTTCATCAATGGTTCTATCCAAGATGAAAGAGATTGTAGAGGCGTATATTGGTGGCACAGTGAAAAATGTTGTAATCACTGTCCCTGCTTATTTCAATGATTGTCAGCGTCAAGCAACCAAGGATGCTGCTACTATTGCTGGCCTAAATGTCCTTCGCATGATCAATGAGCCAACAGCAGCTGCAATTGCTTATGGTGTAGACAATAAGTTTGGTGGAAATGGAAAGAAGAATGTGCTTATCTTTGATCTTGGTGGTGGCACCTTTGATGTCTCTCTTCTCACCATTGATGGAGTGGGTAAGTTTGAGGTGAAGGCTGTTGCTGGTGACACTCATTTGGGTGGTGAGGATTTTGATAATCGTATGGTTAATTATTGTATTGAGGATTTTAAGAAGAAATGGAACAAGGATTTAACCAGAAACGAAAGAGCACTAGGAAGGTTAAAAGTTGCCTGTGAAAAAGCAAAGAGAATTCTTTCATATGATACTCAAGTTTCTGTTTAACTAGATGTGCTGCTGGATGGGATTGACTTTTCTATGAAGATTACTCGTGCCAAATTTGAGGAGCTAAATATGAGTTTCTTTACGGAGTGTATCAAGCAAGTGGAGAAATGTTTAGTGGATGCTAATCTGAACAAAGGTAGTGTAGATGAGGTAATTCTTGTTGGTGGATCAACTAGGATACAAAAGGTCCAAAGTATGTTACAAGAGTTCTTTGATGGGAAGGAGCTATGCAAGAGCATCAACCCTGATGAAGCTGTAGCTTATGGGGCGGCAGTTATGGCTTCCAATTTATGTGGTCAGGCTAACAAGATGATAAAGGAGTTGGTGCTATTGGATGTCACTCCCTTGTCCCTTGGTACAGAGGTAGATGGGGATATTATGAGTGTTATAATCCCAAGGAACACTCCTATACCAACCAAGAAGACAGACACTTTTATAACAGTCTATGACAACCAATCTTCTATGGAGACAATGGTGTACCAAGGTGAACGGACTAGATCTACTGATAACTTCTTGTTGGGATCTTTTATAATTTCAGGAATTCCACCTGCTCCTAAAGGAGTCTCAGTAGTAGAGGATTGCTTTGAAATAGATGTTAATGGTATCCTTACAGTTACATCTAAGGTAGTATCCACTGGTAAGACCGAAAAACTTACTGTTACCAATCTTAGTGGGAGATTGTCAAAGCATGAGATAGAGAAAATGATGAAAGATGCTGAGAAGTTCAAACTTGAGGACCAAGAGTTCAAGAGTAAAGCTGAAGCATACAATGCCTTGGAGGAGTGCATATATGACTTGGAGAATAAGATTAAAGGAGAAGATTTGCCCTCAAAGGATTTGAAGAGCCTACATAATGCAATTGTTGATACAAAGGAATGGCTTTCTACTGGTAAAGTTGCAGATGTTTGATGAAATTGAGCGTAAGAAGGGGATCCTGGAGTTCATACCCAAACTTGCATTTTCTAACTAATTCCATACAATACTTACTAGGATGTGTGCTGAATTTTGGGATCAGAATTCTGTGATGTACTGAAGCAGATGTTTTTCAACTTGCTGCATTTTAGTTCAAACCCAAAGGAATCAAACCAAATGCTCTAGATCAATCAAAGATTTAAACACAAAATGCTCAAATAAAGCTTTGTCGCAACTGAAGTTCATATTACTGGTTTCAAAAAATGTCCTAAAATGTGTTAATTGGTAATTACAAATTGTGATACAAGCTTGAGGAGATTGTAATTAGAACTATTCCAAATCAACTAACAGGATTTCAGGAAGTGAGGACTACCATTCATCCATGTTAGAGAATCCCAATAGTTTAGTCAAAAATTTGAATTGATGAGATTTATACACACTGCATTTAAAGTAGTGTGAGAATCCCAATCGGGAGCTTTTCTAATAAACTTACTAGAAAAGCTTCCCATTGGGATTCTCTAACATGTATCAAAATGTTTTAAAGTAGTGTGAGTAATTATATTTCCAACCGAGTGTTTTTTAGTCGTATGTTGTTTTTTATGGGAAAGGTTAAACCAATTTCAACCACATAAGTCGTTGCTACAGGTCAATATTTGTATGGTAGCATAAATTATTTATTAACCATGCATCTAAGAACAAAAAAATTATGACAACATTTTTGTGTTTATAGTTTGCATGGAACATATGGAGAATGTTCAGGCCAATGTCACATAGTTCAAGGTATGGTCCGGTATGGGAACAGGGAACGGGAACGTGATTCATGAGGTTGGGCGTATCGGGTACCAGGGTTTTGGGGGGGTAGGTTCATTTCAGTACGGTGTACCATTGGTCCCGATACGGTGTATCTGTTTTTAAAACACATATTTAGCAATAATTTACTTATAAACATAATTTCCAGCAAAATATTTTATTTAGAAGCAGAATTCCAGCAATATATGTTTATAAACTCAATTCCAACAACATTTTTCATGATTCCATAATTCATAATACCAAAAACACATATTGTAAAGATTGCATGCTGGAAATCAAAACAGGAACAGTTTTCTAACAACTTAAAAACAGAAAACAGGAAGAGTAAACAAACAAAAACAGAAATGTAACATGTCAATCAACCCACAGCCTTTTTCCTTGTCGATTCTCCACATTTTCTTCATCTAAATTCTCCCAAACCATGTCATCTAATCGTGAACTTGAGCCTTCAATATAAGTGCTTTTGGGATTGATGTCCCACTTTTTGTGTGGGCCGGATTCGTATGATTTGTGGAAACGAGATAGGAGTTGAATATTGGAGTGAATGTAAACCAATTTATCGGCTATTTTCTCATTCAGCTGGTTTCTTTTCACATTATGAATATAAGAATAAGTACTCCAATTCCTTTCCGCAGAAGAGCTACTAATAAGTTGTGAAAGTACCTTCTTTGCCACCAAGGCCAAATCAGGGGTTTCGGATCCATAGGTTGACCACCAATCTATTGGATCCATTGTCAAAGCATCTGTTTGTGTTTCCGGCATAGAGTAGATACCTTTCTTCATATGGAATGTTACGAATTTCTCTCGTAACAATCGACCCTCCTCTTCATTTTCATTTTCAGAAATTCTATTGAAGGATTCCATGACACCATGCATAACATCTTTGTCTATATTTGGTGGTTTCCTTTGCATACCACCGGGTGCCATTTTTTGAAGATATTGTCTATCATAAAATCGTGGGTTTAATGCTAACCCCAAACAATGTAGTGGGATATTCATCTTCTCCCACCTAGTTAAAATTATCTTCTCCACTTGTTGGTAATAGCTAGCATAAGTACTTTCTTGCATTATGTCTTTAATTTCACCCATCATATTATCCATCCTCTCATTGACCTCACCCGTTTTAGGGCCTTCACCATCACAAAACTTTATAAGAAGAAAGATGGGTTTAGTGATAGCCAAAACACTTTCAACATCGTCCCAAAACGAATCATCTTTAATAGTACCACACTCCTTTGCCCCATTAATTCTCGTATTTTCATCCCCACATTTAACCCAATCTCTCCAAGAATTAAGGACTATAGTTGTGGCAAAAGCCTCCCTACACTCCATAATTCTTTTTAAAAGAATATATATTGTGAAGCAGACCGAGTTTTAGCCACCTTCAATAAATCTAGTTTTCAATTTTCATGAAACATCGACAAGGCATGAGTGTGGTTAATCAAGTATTTCACAATTGCTTTTCCCCTCCTATAGGTATCACTCATCCAATAAAATTATTGTGTCATATCTTTAAAAATCAAGTTTAAACTATGAATACAACAAGGTGACCATAAGATATGTTTGAATACCTTTTCGATCTCGCGTCCGACGGCTTCGCAGTTAGTCACGTTGTCCGTCACCACTTGTAATACATTACTTGGACCAACGACTTCAATTGCTCCTCTTAGAAACTTGGAAATTGCCACTCCCGTTTTCTCGACCTCCGAATAATCTTCTGCATACATGAACACCGCACCATGAGCATTGACAGAAACAACATTGAGAAGTGGCTTATGTTTGACATTAGACCACCCATCTGAATTAATAGATGCACATTGATTATACCAAGTATCTTTCTCTTGTATTAGTTCTTTATCAATATCTCTCACACGCTCATCTAGCAAGACGGTTCTTGCTTTTTCACTAGATGGAGGTTTATATCCATTCGGTGACTTCTTAATGGCTTGTATCATTTCAATGAATTGAGGATTATGCAATACATTGAATGGGATACCATTAGCACACAAGCATCTCATGATTTTCATGTCCACCATATTACGCTCCAGGACAAAGCTTCCTTAAGTTGATTTTTGATGCTGATTTTTTTTTGAAAGGATTGAATTTTTTAAAGTTCTTGACACACCTCTGCTCTCGACTTCTTTCACCTTGCTCGAAAATCGTTGTGGCTTGGACGAATCTTTAATCATAGTTTGACATCTTCTAGTTTATATCGGCCTCCCATCTTGAGCACCAAAGAAATGCATATGAATACTAGTATATGAGCTTGTATATTTCACTTTGCAATGCTTACAAATCCACTACTTTGATCCACCAACATTCTTACTAGTACCTGAACAAACCATAGTCACTTCTTCCAGAAGAGGTTTCCCAACTTCTTTATATTGTTTTTTTCTTCCTGATGCAATTACACCTACTAGTATGTCATCCACACCAATGTCAACAAAATTTTATGGTGGTTCTATTTCACTCTCTGATAAATGAATACTAGTGCCAAAAACTGTAACACCCAGACGCCAAGTATTTTCCATTTAAACCCCTTAATATGAAATATGATGAAAAATTGGTCCCAAAGCCCCATTATGGGAGTCACGAGTTTTTGTGCGTACGCTGGGTGTACTCATGCATGCTTCAGGCGTACATGGCTAGTGAGCAAACCTTAATTTTTTTGGTTTGAGCACTATTTAAGCATCGCTATCTCCCCAAAACCATTTCCCTTACTAGCCTCCATATCCCAAAACGTCCCTTGCAAATCCTAATTCGTTGTATGAGCATTTTGAGCTTGAGAGTGTGTATTTTGTTTTCTTAAAGGAAGGAGAATATAGTTGAATCATCTTGGAAGCGCAAGGCAACCTAGATCCAGAAGTATCTCACCCTCAAGCATCCTTTGGAGGTATAAAGTTTAGATCTTGATGCATCTATCTTTGGATCTTGCTAGTTCTTAGGCTTTTATGCTTTTTAGTCCAATAATCTTGGTGTTCATGAGTATGGCATACTCTAACCCATAAGGGATGTCCTTCCAGACGTTTTTAGGTACTTAGAATCATAAAAATATGATCTTGGTCCCTTTCCTTTCATGATGCATGAGATATGAGGTTTTAGTTTGTGTATTAAGTTAGGGTTTGGTTTTTGGACTCATTCTAGCCTTGGAAAGACATAAAGTTGGAAACTTTATGACTTAGAATGTTATTTAGGACTAGATATGAGATTTAGACATGGTATCTTAACGGACTAATCACTTAATAGAGAAAAAGGGGATCGTTGAGTAGGTTAGGCATACCTGGTGGTACGTTGCACGTACCTGGTTGATGCCCTATAATTTGGCCAAGGGTGCACTACGATGGGCGTAGTGGTTGAGTACACTGAGTGTATTCGGTCTATATTGATTTCGTTGACTTTTTGACTTTTTGACTTTGACCTTTGACCAAGGGTTTGACCATGATTGACTTAAGGGCATTTTGGGTATTTTGAGTGGTTGTTGAGTGTAAGGCCCTGTTATTTGTCTAGGTGATCAGTAGAGGCAGTATTCAGAGCAGTGATTTGTTCAACTATCTGTTCATACTGTGAGGTGAGATTCCTCACTGTACTTGTGGGTCGAAGGCACTAAGGTGTATTCATCTGTTAAGATTTGCATGATCTATTTGTTGTTATATGTTTTATCTGCTGGATATGTTGACATACTGTGGTTAGGTTGAGGCATTACTTCTTTGTACGGAAGCCAACAAACCCGCGAGTAAGCCAGACATAAGTTGTGGGGCAGAAAGGGCAAGTCAGACTTATGTTATGGGCTCGGGAGAAATTCAGACATGAGATGTGGACCAGAAAGGGAAGCCAGACTCATGTTGTGGGCTCAGGGGTAATCCAGCTCGATGGTTGTGGAACCAGTATGCATGTTGTTTATATGATTGTGTGGTGGTATTTTTGGGGAACTCACTAAGCTTTGGCTTACAGTTTAAGTGTTATGTTTCAGGTACTTCGGATGATCGGGGCAAGGCGAATGCGTGATCATATATATCCTTCGGTGTTTTGTTTTTGGGGGGATTTTGTGATACCATGATTCTAGGATATTGTATTTCATATTTGGTTTTTGACCTGGGCTTTTGATTGGAAACAATGATTATACTTTAATTAAAATAAAAAAATTTATTGTGATTTTTGGGATGTTACAAGTTTGTATCAGAGCCCTG